ATTGACGTAGGAAGTTGGTTTTTCTTTCACATATACCGCGGCGGGACGCGTCTGACGGCTGCAGTTACCGCGGTCACGGCGTGGCGAACGTCTTTTTTCCCACCGACGACGTGCAATTATGTATATACGCATGTTATACACATTACACAGAGTACGCGTATATCAGCAAGCTGCCGCCGCGGCAATTTCCGATCGCGCTTGCGCGGGAGCCCGTCGGCCGTCCGTCCGTCCGTCTGTCCGTCGCTGTAAAACGGGGCGACGTCGCTTCTCCGCTCGATCTCTCGATCAATCCGCTGGGTCGCCGCCGCCGCCGCCGCCGTATACATAACCGCGTATCGCCGGTCGTCGACGGAGCGCTCAGTAGCACGTTAACCGTCGCCGACGCTGCCGCCGCCGCCGTCGCAGCAGCAGCAGCAGCCGCCTTAGTGCCGCGCCGTTTCACCGCGTTATCTCGCCGCCGCCCGCACACGGTACGTGTCACGTCTGTGTGCTTATTAATAATAAATTATTATTATTATTGATGAACATGATATATTATTTTTTTAACAGAGGTGGTCCGAGTATTTTTTTTTCTTCTATCTGACCGGTTGTGTTCGACTACATACTCAACTTGCATAATATTATTATCAGAACCCCGCGAACGAAATCACCAATGTGATGTATTAATTTATCTAATATTATAGTACTGTACTAAAATATTGTTATGTTATTTCGGCCATGTGGTTTGAAATTAAAAAAACAAAAAAAACTATTGGCGCGTTTAATAATTATTGACTTTGATTTATACTATTAGCCACTATTCGACACGATTTCTATGTCGAGTGACCCACCAAAACTATCGGTACTATTATTAATTTATTGAGATATACCTCTATACGCGTTGGTTTTTTTTCCATTCCGAATCTATTTGCAATACATGTCTCATGAATGGTTTAACCGTCTTTGCTATGCATACAACATATTATATTATCTTTTATGATGGTACCCATAAGTTCGTACTTTGAAAATMGCATTTGCCCACGACGATGACGACCTTTCCCATCACACGTGTTATATTTATGTGTATGTGAAGCGAACCAACAAAAGTATAATATGTTCGATCCGCCTCTGTAATATTATAATATATATTTGTATGCCATAGTCCATAGTAATAAATTGTTACATTTTATGTTCGTATATTATATATTTTTATATTTACAATTTTACCCGGCCTAATCCGACGCAACTTTCTCGATCTCTGACGCCGTCACTACCACCGCTGCAGCCGACACACGTTTTGTATAGACACAGATAGTTCCTCTAATCAGTAATCTACTTAATATTTTTACGATTTTTCATAAAATAATATTTATTTTCTTATCTCGCGTTATATTATTATATCTGTACTCGATATTATGTATTAACGTATATGTATAACGCGATGATGTATTTTCTTGCGCAYCACTATATGCACTTATCCTGTAAAGGTATGAAATTTCCGAATTTTGATCGCGGTTTATTTTTGTTTCGTTCGAGTATAGGTGGTAATCATATTATTACCTATATTATACACGTTGCTCGAGTACCTATATACATTACACTCTATTACTCTAATATTGTAAGATTATGCGAAAAYCACGTCTACAATTTAATATGCAATATGTGTTTTTAATAGATAAAGCTAAAGATACGTCAATGATCAAGTGTTGAATGCATTATGTATAACAATAATAATAAGCAGTGTGTTTTTTTCGTTATAAAAGTAACTATACGGAAAAAAAATTTGAATATTATTAACATTTTAAGTTAATCAATTTAGAATCTATTTCGGTGTAGGTACAGGTACATCGTACTTATTATTATTATATAACATGCTTTGAACATCGTATCCGTCCGCAGGGATATTTACATTTTATGATACAAACATAAATGTGGAATTATACGTTAGAGTCTTACGTAATCTCCATTATTTTTGTATCAAAGTTAGTGACCCCATTTAATTTAATTTCAACTTGTGTTTGATTAAAACAAATAAGTATAGTTATAATCCGTATCGGAATTGTAGCTAGGCATTTGCAAAAGGGTATTTTCAGAGGCGCAATTATACGAAAAGTGAAATTTCATCGAGTGGCATTCTCAATTCAAATATGATAATTTTACAAAAAAAAAACTCTCCTTTATTTTTAGCATGATTGGATGAGGGGGTGCAAATTTGCTGTTCCGCCTGGTTGTTGCTATACGGCTCTGATCCTTTTACCTACACCTTTGTAGATATTATTAWACATATAGACACAACAAATACACTTGCAAATAAACTTTTTTGATTTTCTGAAGGGAACTCATTTAAGTTGATTTAATCGCGATTTACATTTGTTTTAATAATTACATATTTGTACTATTTACATTGTGTTACAATATAATATAATTCATGGTACATTGGTACATSCATATAAATTAAAACAATCTGAATTTGTAGTCTAACTATCTTAAGTTATTGCACTTCTAATTTTTGGAATAGCAATCTTTATTTTATTATAATTCGTATTTTTTAATAATAAATTAGTATAATTTATATAAATATCGATTATTGAACCAACATAGTTTTTATTTTATTCATTAGCGCCTAAAGTTTATAGATATTGTAATGGTAAAAGTTGCATAAAATAACCAAAAAAATAGTAGATAACTATATAATTTTTAAATTCTTATAAATAATTAAAACTACCTATATATGATATCATATAAGTATTTATATTTATCGGTATGATACCTAACAATATGGCACCATCAGAAAATATTTCAACTTAACGAGTATTGTGAATTGAGTAGCTTACTTAAAATATAGTAAAACCCAAGCATATGACTTTGATAAAAATAGTGCTGGGAAAATATGGTAGGTGTATACCGTGTGCATGATATCGTTATCTGCAGTAGATAGTTATTACTTTAAATTATGTACAAATGTTTTTTTCCCCTAAAAACCATAAAAATTGTGAATACAATCGCGATAATGCAGTCTGCCGTGTCGAAAAAAAAATCGCCTTGTATATTATATTTTCTGTGTGTTTGTACACGATATTCATTATTGCATTATACGATAATGAAAAAAACAATACTTACTAAGCGTATAATAAGTTTATAGAGGACGCGTGTGAACAATAAGCCGTGAGTTATATAATGTAGTAGTAGTAGTAGTGTGTGTGTGTATAGGTATATATATTATATATATATATATATATATATATATAATATGCGAGTATAGTTTTCATGGTGGTATCACGTATATTTTACTTCATTCGAAAATAGTAACTTAACAAAAGAGATTCGTACATATTTATTGTTGTGTTCGTATCCATTTCCTTCTCTCTCTCTATTTACATAGTATAATATTATAAACGTATATGTAGTCGCGTAACGTTGTGATATATTATTGACAGTGGCTATAGGAAAATAACTATTACAATAATTTAATAAACTCAAAATAAATAACTACCTCATCTGCAGAGGAAACTTTTTAAACTTTGTAAACGTTTTTAATTTCTGTTTGTTCACAACAAACGCYTTATATACTTTTTCATATATACGAATCAAGTGCAATATACTGGAGAAATAAAGGAAGGAAGGAAATTGTTGGAGTATTGGTGGAGAAATAGGTATGGCTTTATAAAATGATAATACTATTACTATATTAGGAAATAGGAGGTAGTCGTACGYATTATATATTATATACAACATACATCATACTGACTTTAATCGTGTAACGTGAATAAATAAAAGTGACTTGAGTTAAATTAATTTTGTTTCTCATTCGTCCTTCAATGTCATGTTTTATCTCTTCCCTGCTATAAACTTGTTAGCGTATATAATAATAATATACATAAAAAAGTACATGATACGTGTATCTTAGCTTTGCGGTGGCAATGAACAAAATTCGAGAGTAGGTATACATATAATAAGGTACTCTATATATTTATACAATTCAAATACGTGCGTAAAATATCAAACTTACTCTAGCAACTCCTCCCCCTCACAATGCAAATAGCTCAGTTCACTGCGTCGGGATTGAGAAAGTTTTCGTCGTAATTGCGTCGGCGTGTGTTTGCGCGTGTTTTACTTAACGATATGCGTTTTTAGGACATGCAAACGGAGACGGGTAGATGACCACCTATATTATACTGCACTTATAATATACTACCCAAGGAAAATGGATCTGACAGAGCCATTATACGTCACAATTACTTCCCCGCACATCTCGGCAATTGGCAGACGACGACGACGACGACGAACGACTTAAATGACTCAAATACTGATAAGCTTTGTTGACGACAACGACAAAATTTAAGTTCAGCGAGGTGTTWTTTGATTTACAAGAAATTTTTTTTTCGTGAAACGTGTGCTCAATTTTTTTGCAACTTGAAACACCCCGGTCGTATAATTTATAGTATAATAATAATAAATAATAAGTGAACGAATCAAAACCTAAGAAACCGCYGCGAATATGCAAACGACATGCGGTCGGCCGATAAGGCTAGAGGACGGCGACGGCCKCGCGTCATGATGAGCTGATGGATGACGACGGGCCGGCAGCGGTGGACGACGCGGCGGCGGCGGCGATCGAGCAGCAGTTGGAGAAGCAACAACGCGAAGAGGCGGAGAGGAAGCGGTTGGAACAGCTCCGGGAGCGGGTGCTGTTCTACCTGACCACATTCTTCATACTGCTGGGCATCGTCAGCCTGTTCGTATTCCTGTTCCTGGTGCCGTTTCTCATCGAGCCGGCCATCACAACCATACTGATGGAGTTCGACGAGACGCCGACGACGTGCGTGACCGCGCATTCGGAGCTCCGCGAGGGCGCGTCGAACTGCTCGCTGCCAGGCGGCTGGTCGTCGTGCCGCGAGGGCTGCACCCGAGAGATATACGAGTGCGCGCAGATATTCGTCAACTACACCGTACACGGGGACCGGGCGAGAGACTTGAACGCCCGGCACCGGCGGTCGCTGCTCGTTCGCGGCTACCAGCCCATCGAGCCCGAGCCGGCTACCGGGTGGGCGTACTCGCTGGCCCGCATATACCCCAACGTCAAAGGGTGTGGTTACCCGCCGCACCTGAACTGCACCACGTTCCGGGAACGGTACTTCGAGGTGGGGTCCAGCTACCCGTGCTACTACAGCCGCGTCGAACCTTGGGTGGTCATCACTGAACTGGACCTTGCCAAAAGCACCAGACAGCTGGTGTACTCGATGGTTTTCCCTATTCCGTGTTTCGTCGTGTCCGTCGTGTATGTAGCGCTCGTCTATTTCTGCGTGTACGCCGGCCGGAACCGCAAGCCCAAGGTCAAGCGGCGTGTCGTCCGGCGGATGGTCGGCGGCGGCGGCACGACCGGAAGCAACGTCGGCACCGGTAGCGGAGTGGGTTACGGCGGTGGTGGCGGTGGTTCCGCGTCTCGGGCTAAGTCTGCAGGTTCGGAAGCTACACCGCTTACTAACAACAGTGGCGCCGCTGGCGCACCCTCTTCGCCCACCGGCACCGGAACGCCCGGAAGTGAATCGTTGTACCGCCGGCGAGATGACGACAACGAAGACGACGATGCGTCTGGATCGTACTACGGCGAACAGCTCAGGTCCACGCTGGCCGTGGACGACTCTACCGCCGGTTACGTGAATGCGCTCCGCTTATCCGAACACACGCTYAGACAATCAGACTCCAACGAACCGTCCAGATGCGAGTGGTCCGACGACGACGACGACGAGTATGAAGCGAGCGCGTGCGAGAGCAGCCTCGAACGGTCAGTAAAAATCGTCTCCGCCACCGCCTCTGCCGCACCGTTTCCAACGAATTCCACCGGGTATGCTCCTTAATATTGTTGTTGTTTTTGTTTTCATTTCAATTTTTTAGTTTCCGCATGTTTCCTGTGGTTTTCCAAAAAATGTAGTTGTGATTTATGTAAAAGAGCCCCGCGATGAACTTATTTCGTTTGGTTTTAATTACTCCGACGAGTAATTAAATATATATTACAGTTATGTACATATGTTTAGGGTCAATTTAATTATTTTAATGTGGAAATACTGTAGGRAAATTATCGTTTATAATATTATGGTATAGAATGTCTTGTATTTTTCAACTGCAATTATTGTTTCAATCGAAAACTTGTCGAAATAAAATAACGAGTTCGTTGTTGTTGTATTAGCTCTTCATGGTATCTGTCACTTTTCTAATTACGTGATGCGATAATTCATGAAAAGAGTATTATACGGATAAAACTAAACGAATTAAAACTCATTGACACGTGTTATAGGCTTACAGCTTTTCCGCACTTGTATCCTCCTCYTGCTGTTTCTAATGCGTTCCTTAATCCTACCAGTTTATCTTGGACATCTTTTTTTTCATTTGCGCCACTTTTTCCGTCTGCCTGTTTGATGTTCCTCGTATCTTTAAAAAGTGTTTGTGAAAACTCTCCACCAAACTAACTTAACCTTGGAACCGAACTTTTACCCATAAAGCCCATAAAAATTAATACTTATAACAATTATAGTTTTAGTGAAGAATCTAATACGGGCAGACTGTTTTTATTTGTTATGATTGTATATTTTTCATTAACAGAAGAACCTTTTCTAAACATTTTATTGCGAAATCAATGAAATCTAAAAACTTAAGCCTATTGCCTCATCTGTAAAATATCTCAAACTTAACGAGTATTGCGAATTGAGTAGTTTACATATATACATATATTATATCTATTATCTCGTTCATATAGTTTTCTATCTTTTTAAAACCGTCACATCAATATTATCCGTATACCGGTAATGTATGCATTGTTGTTGTACTTGCTTAGAATTTTCCTAAATTAACGATGGCTGTAGATGAGTAGTGTTGTTCACACAGTCAATATTCTGCTATCGATTAAAAATGAAAAAAAAAAGATTGTAATAGTTACCTATTTTTTTTTATTCTTTACTCATAAAGACTTTTATTTTATATACGTTATTTATATGAAAAAAATAGGCATGGTTAATAATATCAATATAACTAAATGGAAGACACTTGAAACACTGACATRTAACAATTATTAGAAGTTAAATCATCATTAAAGTTGGGTTCTCATATAATAATATAATATRTATAACTAATGCGTTTAATTGCTGTTATGTTTAATACATACTTATTAATTATTATACAATATAATAATTTTTGGCATTAAATGTGTAATATGTATAATTTATACAATGTATACTCCATTATCATGCAGGTATATAGAACTTATTTCTTATGAGATTGTAACAAGTGTGAAACTTACAAAACACTAAAAGCCATAGAGTACTTTTTGCAGCTATTTTTATAATTCTAAACCAGTTAATAACGTATAATAATTAATACGTATTATTTGCTAGTGAATTATTATTACAAATAATTTCATATAACCATATACCTTYAGTATTTAYCTATACTAATAATTCGGCTAATATTATTATTATTATTATAGAATTCAGTATTCCTTATATTACATTATTATGTCGATCTAGTGTTGAGTATAATACTGTTAATTTTCTAATACGGTTTTGCAYATTATTACGGAAATATCGTTATAATAATAATTGTGAAAATAATTACAATAATCGAACGTTCGCATCACAATATTACTTATATTACACTTTAAATAATAGGTAATTTCCTTAAGTAGTGAGTTCCTGTCGTTGTTCAAGTTTCCCTGCTGTATATACGTAATACATGCTTGTAAATTATTATCGATCATCGAGATTCTTGATGTACGAGTAGTATAGAGTATGTAGCTGTAATATTGTATTAAACATGTATAACATAATGATGTGATGTGTGACGGTTCGTCGTTTTTGCTGCTCTCGCTGAAATCTTGGCGAAATTAATTACCTATAACGCTACGACGTGACAATATAATGTACATATAGTGTGATTCAACACAATGTTCACTCCCCATTTTTCATACATTTTAATACATTTATTCGAATTATGATTTTTGGAATATTTAAYTATTAATTAGGTATATAATTAAACTTTTTTKATTTTTTTTTGTACCAATGCGAAGTGTACCGTGACGATGCAAAGTTGTTTTTAAAATGAGACCCTCCCTCCTCTTTTCACTGTAAATTATTTAGGGGATATTTTTTTTTATTTAAAACTTTGACGGTGCACTACAATCAGGTATATCTACTTAATTCAAAATTTGAACGAGTAGTTTAAAAAAAAAAAAAATAGATGTATTCAGATACTAGTTGTAGTATTTATTATACTTTTTTTTTATAAATTATAAATATTGATCGATTAATATTAATTACTAAAACTTACACATTACCAAGCCCACATACCTTACAAGTCGATTATCGTAGATTTATCATCCTCATTACACTAAGGCAAATAACTTAAGAATTAGGTACTTGATTGAATTTCGATTTTGATTCAGCTTAATTTTTAGAAAAATCAGTTATAAATAATTTACTGTAGAAAAGAGAAGTTATCATTTTAAAAACAAGAGCTTGTATCTCCGCAGCACACTATTTAAGTAGTACAAAAATTTAGATTTTAAATAACTGTCTTATTGAAGAAGAAAAGGATCGTGATTATGCTTAAATCCTCAACCCATATGTATATAATATCCACGTTACAATAACAATAATGATGTATGTTTAGCGTTTAGGTACACGAAAATGTTTTACGTGTCTCGTACATTTTTGGCTAATAAGTTAGAAAAGTGTCATACTTTTATAATATTTTTGCTTTACATTATATATTATATAATCTTGTGAACATACTTTGTGTTGGTATAYGATAGCTAATGATTCAAAGGAATTGCCCGTTGTCGCGTAACAGAGTTTAAAATTATCAACGCGATAATTAGAGAACGCTATAGACTTTTATAATACTTATATAAGTTTAGTCTTGCTGCGGTCGACCGTATCGTTGATAATGATTGAGAAGATTATTTAACGAGCTGTGTCGTAGTTTAATTATTAACTCAATATATAATATAAACTCATGATGTATATACACAGTATTTTATCGACGCGACGCTGTCATAGTAATAAACGTTCTCACCTTATATTATTTTGTCTTTCGACGACCCTCGAAATAACCATAATATTATAACGATATTGCGGTGTATTGCAAACGTGTATAGCCGTGTGCTTGAAGTGTCGTAGCAGGTTTTTGCTTATTATTATATCCTGTGGACTTAACGATGTTTTTTTTTATCCTCAAGTAGGTTTTTAAAAATGGTATACAACAAGAGATTGAGTACTTTGACCGAAACACACTTAAATTATTTCCGTATACACGCATCGATAGTAATCCGCTTTTGTATAAGGAATAGTGGTAAAATATTATGTACTATTTTGTGCGTACCTTTATGATTTTGATTTACTATACTCTCTGATAGCTGTGGCATTATACGTTTATTTTCGTTATTACATATCATTAGATTTATATGCACATTATGCGATTGATAATAATATACAACATAGAATGTAGAATATGATATAGATACAAGCACATCGTTTATCAATGCGATAGAATCTGTAGTTTACTCGTCTGTGATACATCTGTGCGTTGAAGAACCTAATAATTATAATATTTTGTCAGCGCACCGTTTTACTTTTATAATACCACGCGACACGCRATATCATTATTTGAACTTTGAAAGTATATTTATAGGTACCTAGGTTGTTGTTATAACGATTTCATTTATACGACGAGTGGTTGCGGTAATAATAAACAAATCGGTTAGTTTTAAACGCAATCGTCCTTCCTGGAGTGCACTCAAGAACAACCCCTTTATATTCATAAGTGGTTTTCGAACGAATCGAAATTTTAAAATCAAACTGCGGTTTTATCTTTTTATACAATATACGAGTCGGTTTCTATTGAGATTTATATTATTTAGTATGCCACTTAAAAGTTTTACGAATTTTTAATGCACAAACAGCAGTAAGTCCAAAATAAACATGACATACGATAATAATCGATAAAGAATCTAGAAACTAAAAAAAAAACGTATATTAATATTACTTTTAGGGCAAATTATAGTTTACTATGTTTGTTCATATTATGAAAAATCTGAATTCCTTTAATTTCAATTTTTATTTGCGTTTGGTTAAAGTAATAAAAAAAAATAATTAACTTTTTAAACTATAAAATGATTCAATATCAATTCTAGCTGGCAATYAATATTACTATTATTAGGAAATTGTAGCACCATAATGTCTATGTGAAGTCACAAGTAGTTAAATATTGTGAATAGACAATATAATATAAAATTTTTCATAAAGGAATTAATAAAGTATATACTTTATTCATTCAATCGTGCAGATATGTCTGATGCGTGAAAAAATGTATTATAAATACCTTAAAACGRCTTAAATATTTTATTTATTTATTTAGTGCTATATTGATATCATAAACACGCAGGTTTACACAGTGTGAGTCACTACCATTTTTTCCTCCAACTCGGGAAAACGAGTAAACAAAAGTTATTCATCCTGTATTTAATCTCATTTATACACAGAGACGTGTTAATCGTCTATAAATGGGTATAGTGTTTGTATCGTTTCCGGCTTTCTATATCTTTATAATATATATATATATATATATATATAAGTTTCAGTTTTCTCGTAGGGTTATATTATATTATTGTTTGATAAAAATCTTATTATACCAAATGTAAACTGTGCAGCTCGCA